CTCCCGGGCCTATTCCGTATCTTCCTCGGGGGAACCTAAGATACTACCTCCCCCAATTTTCTTTAGCGCCTTTGCAAATGCCACGCTTCGGTCCATCGACGTTTTATCACTCGTGTGAGCTGAAGTCCGGTCCCCTTGGAGATCTCGATAATCCTTCGCTGTGCTGAGAGAATCTTAGGTCCAACAAATAAAGATACGAAATAGGTCCAACAGATAAAGATACGAAATAGGTCCAACAAATAAAGATACGAAATAGGTCCAACAAATAAAGATACGAAATAGGTTCCTTTTATAAAAATACGAAATCGATCAATACATGAGCGACAAAAGAGAGTAAGAATACGTTTCTTACTGTAGTCTCTCCCTGAACTCCTTCTCAGCCTGCTCAAACCTATCTTCTTCCATCTGCCGAATTTTCTCCAATTCTTTAGGATCAACCTCCTTACGAGTGTACTCGAATTCGATCGTACCTTTACAGTGACGAGGGAATATGCACATGGTCATCATCATCAACTACATGTGTTGGTGACGATAACAATATGAAAATTCTGCGACGAAACTCTCGTAAAAACCCCAATTCGTATAATCAACTTTGGAAACTTCTGAGCTCAGGTGCTGAGGAAAGCGATTACATATATTCCTACTCCAACACTGTATAGGAAACTCCTGAGCTCAGATGCTGAGGAAAGCGATTACATATATTCCTACTCCAGCACTGTATAGGAAACTCCTGAGCTCAGCTGCTGAGGAAAGCGATTACATATATTCCTACTCCAACACTGTATAGGAAACTCCTGAGCTCAGGTGCTGAGGAAAGCGATTACATATATTCCTACTCCAACACTGTATAGGAAACTCCTGAGCTCAGATGCTGAGGAAAGCGATTACATATATTCCTACTCCAGCACTGTATAGGAAACTCCTGAGCTCAGATGCTGAGGAAAGCGATTACATATATTCCTACTCCAACACTGTATAGGAAACTCCTGAGCTCAGCTGCTGAGGAAAGCGATTACATATATTCCTACTCCAACACTGTATAGGAAACTCCTGAGCTCAGCTGCTGAGGAAAGCGATTACATATATTCCTACTCCAACACTGTATAGGAAACTCCTGAGCTCAGTTGCTGAGGAAAGCGATTGCATATATTCCTACTCCAACACTGTATAGGAAACTCCTGAGCTCAGTGCTGAGGAAAGCGATTACATATATTCCTACTCCCGCACTGTTATCATCATAGACCTATTCCATATCCTACAACCTACCAATAGGTAACGAAAATCGATCTTCCACTTTCGGCTGCTTCCTCCCTTCCGCGTCCTTATGCCACGACACCTTATTACCTAATCGATCACGTGATCGATTTCACTTTCTCGTTTATAAAATTACTAAAATTACGCAGGAGCCTTCAGTGTTGGGAAAAATGCACATGGTCAACTACATGCCACAACCGATAAAAATTTCGCATAATTTTTTCCCTACACTTCTACCCAAATTCTTCCATAATCACTTTTAACCCACATAATCGATCACGTGATCGATTTCATTTTTCCTTTCAAAGAACAACCACTCTAGAAAAAATTGCACATGGTCAACTACATGTGTTGGTAACTGATAATATGAAAATTAAAAGAAACTTTTTCAATTTTTTGAGACATATCTCAACTCTTCTCATTATCGATCACGTGATCGATTTCAATTCACCTACAGAAAGGCATCCTCAAACCGTTTTTCGCGCTCGCCGTAGTTTGATCGAAAACATTCTCCCAAATATTCTGATCGAAAAACCTCATCATCCTCTTGAACCTACACATGGCAAAAATCGGACCTATTCCGTATCTTTCACCACGCAACCTAAGATACCTTCTTACATCAATTTAAAATACGGATCCCTTCTCGTCAAGTCCTCAAAGTGCTCCACCGTAACATTCCTAAAATCTTGCAATCTTACTCTCACTTGCATTTCCTCAACGCTAACCTCATCGTAGGAGCCATACTTCCATCAACAATAAGATCCGGCCACACTAAATGGAATGAGCTTTTCCACCTTTCTTTCCCCTTGTTATACCCAGACGCCGAATACACATGACATTTGAATTTTTGCAAGTCCGGGAAAAACAGATGAAGAGCTTGTACTCGCCTGAAAAAAAAAGAAAAAAATTTTCAAAATTTTCCAAAAAATTCCGGGAAATTCTAGAAAAAAATGGCCCATTTCAGATTTTTAACAATTGAATTTTCCTCCAAATTTTGTGAAAATAATTCGACAATCGAAAACCCAAATTTTCCCGGAAAAAAATAAAAAAACAATTTCACATCTAACATTTAAAATTGATGAAATTTTCGGAAAAAAAATTCAAAAAATAATATTTCAATTCTAGAGTAGTACAACAATGCAGTTTCACCCGTTTTACGTG